AAAGCGATTCGTTAAACGTTTACACAACTAGCCTGAATCCCGCGGTGAAAAATGCGAGCGGTTAAGAATCTCTTATAAAACTGTTATAACTCCGCACCGAATCCTTTTTTTTTGAAATCGATACGTCCAACAGACTTCCCTCGAATATTATTTAAAAACGCTTCTTGTGCCGTCGCGATTGAAAGCGATTCGTTAAACGTTTACACAACTAGCGGTGAAAAATGCAAGTTGGAAGCACCGCGAAGTGCTGGTCGAGCTGGTTCTCGACTCCGCCAACGTCTTTTAATCACTTCATTCGTCCGAGGTACTTAAAAACTCGGTTGACTTCTGAAGCTGCTGGGAATTTTCTCTTGGTCATTTCTTAGCTAAATGGATTATCCGAGCCCTTCAACAAAACCTGCCAACTCCGTCTACAGGCACTTAGCGTACTTTCGGGCTGGAGTAGCCATTCACGGAATACCGCAGACATTCATTCAGTCTATACGTTCAGCGAAAATAGAGAAAGCAAAATCACTACGAAAGGTAAACGATTCAGATAAATTCCGCTATCGCCTTTGAATTTCTTCATCCGCCAGGAGTGTTCCCCTTTTCACCGCACGGATTAGAGAGAATTAGAAATATCGTCGTTTACGTCTTTTGATAAATACTTCCTGTCGGTTTCAGAGGAACTGGTGTTTTAATGAATAGAAATCAGCCATCACTATGACGTTCGAAGGAATCAGAAATGATCACGACACAGTAGAAGAAGTGCATAATGATTTAGTTGAAAGACGCAGTATTATCAAAATTTTTGACAATTTCTACACCAGTCTCGCTCGTTTATAAGGATAAATTGTATTTTTGTATAGAAATTTCATCGTACCCTTTACGGTCAACAGAATTGCATCAATAGGATCATCACTAATGTGAATCGATATTTCGACATATTAAATTTGTTTGGTATGTCATGTCTTTTCTTTCCGAGTATGCTTACGAACCCAAGGTAGTTTAGTAAGTATTAATCAATATTTTCGTTATTATATAATCTTGTGTTATTGTTTCAGTTGTTGTTTGATTTAAATTTATCCCAAAATTGTGGTACTTCCGGGAAATTAGAGATTCCTGAGGTTATTCGAAGCAACTTTTTCTTTTACAAAAATTTCCTCCGAGGCATCGTTAACGAATTATTAATGAAAAACACTGACCAATGAGAGACGAGCTCGACGGGCGCGAGGCGGCCCAGCCAATGAGCGTAACAGGGGCTTCGTGCGCTCGTTGGCTGGGCCGCCTAGCGCCAGCCGAGCGCGCCCCTCATTGGTCATCGTTTTTCGTTAATAACTCGTAAACGAAGCTACGGATTGCATTTTCGCTAAGGAAAAAATTACTTCAAATCACCTTAGGAACCCCTCGTTTCTCGGAAATACCATAATTTTTGGACATATATACGTTGATATATTCTAAAGGGCTCGACCGATTAAATAAATACATTTACATACAAATAACGTTAGTTTTTAAAAACTAAAACATAATCTCGTTGTTATTCATAAAATCATTCGAACCGAACGGAGTAACGTCTTGAAACAGCAATAGTACGATGCAGATGCGGTGATTGCAAATAGGAACACGAGTAAAAGCAGTTTCGTAATGTCGTCGAAACTCACCGTTCGATGTATCGACTGTATTTCCAGCGACGTTTTTCTTCGAACCGGAACCATCATGGTAAGAACTTTTAATCTAGAGTTTCGACATCCCTTATATTGTTGCCGAACCGCTTTGTGCAGATCGCATCTGGATCGATTCGCTCGGCCAAGAGGGCGAGTGAAGATGTTCCGCTCGACATCAGATGTCAACGGTAGGAAGGTTTGCTCTTGGGCATACGTTTGAACTATGTGGACATTGAGAAATCCATAAGCCGGATAGCGCCGGAGGTCCGGGCAATAGACGGCAGTAATCGATTTTGAAAAATATCTGACGTGCTCCAGCCCCTGTTATTCCGGCCGAAATAGCCGGATCCGATCTCGCCGCGCAACTATTCCGATTATTTTTATTCTCGTTCATAAGAGCTCCGATACGGGTCGGAAGGATTTCGGAATTAAGCCGACGACGAAATATGTACTCCGCGCGGCCCCGTATTCCAAGCGTTTTAGTTGCAACCTTACCGGGGGGAAAAAACAAGTCGAAAGTTATGGCGTTGACGATAAGGCGGCGAGGATGAAAATTCGACGACATCTCGGTTCCTTTATGCGTCGTCGACGCGTTTCCTTCGCACCTAGGAATCTTGGCCTCGAATTCTGATGAATGTGTTTGCAAGGGGACAATGTGTGCGGCGGGAGTCCATAAATTTTCGGCGAGGTGTTTAACGGTACGGCTTCGCAGACAGCGCACGCGAGGAACGAGGTACACACAGGATGAGAGGAAAATGAGATTCGACTGCGTTATGCGCAACTTCCTACATCGCGTTACCGTAACCGTTCCCGATGAATGTGTACTTTGGCAAGCATTGTTAACATCGGCTGGCATCTAGCCCCCGCGAAACCTCTACATGCAGTGGCTAATGATCATGGGAACAGCGACGGGTGGTTTCTTCGTCGTTGTTGTTACAGAGGAAATTGCAATATTAATTCAACCTTTCGAACACCGACAGAGGAACGTTCCAAAATGACGCCTACAATTCTTCCATTTCTGTGATGAAAAGTAGACGCTTTGATGTAATTTATCGGAAACGATCGTACTAATCTGTGCTCAATTATGGAAGAAGGGAAACTCTGAAGTAACACCTAGAATTTTCAATTTATGTCTAGAAAACTAGAACGTCCTCCATTATAATGTCTAATAAATACTAATGTATTCTTATGTAGAGTAGGAAGCTGGTTACTGTGGGGTGACGAATTGTTACAAAAAAAAGAAGGTTACTGTTTTTCTTTCGACTAATTTTTACATGTAGAATCGCTTAATGAACAAAACAAGAATAACAGAAATTTTTGTAAGATTTTCAGGCCCTGTGAAATTTCTAAGAAGAAGATCACAATAATTTTGGATTGTAGAAGAATATTTTAGAGCTTTTTAAAAGTAATCATAGCCTAATGCAGACCCAACAATGAAAAGGTCTACTAAAAAACGTACACATCTAGAATTTTGTCTACATTTTCTACACAACTTTCAAATTTTTTGGCAACTTTTGTTATTTTGGACAAATTTTATGCAATTTCGGAACAGAATAATCGAAGAATCAATTTCAAACGGTAACTGGCGACTTATTGATAACAATCGTGCTCGCACCCTGTCGAATTCTCGCAAATACTACTCGATGCATGAATTCTTGATGTTTTCAGCTTAACTAACAAAAACTCTCGCCAATCCTCCAGCTTGTATTTGCATTTCTCGTTTACTTAGGGCTCTGCACATAGTCACGGCAACAAATAATCTTCATCCACGCTCAGCTTTTCCAACCTTCGCTTGCTGACATTCATCTACATCTGCTGATTGATTTATAGCGTTCACCCTGGTTCACGACAAACATACTTTTCCAGGAAAAATCCTACAGTAGATCTTTACGAAAATATTTCACAGGTGTTATTTTCTATCGGGCTATCAGTCATAGCGAAGGCATGATGACAGCTGTCGAGTTTAAGGGTGACATATTCGAGTACCTTGAAACCTAGTTTCAGTTAATATACAGGGTGTCCCAATGATGTCTCGCATTACGGAAATGGGGGTAGCTGAGGTCATTCTAAGTAACATTTTCCTTTGCGAAAATGCAATCTGCGGCTTTGTTTACGACATAACCTTGACATGATCTTGACATAACGTGTCGTGTTAGCAGCGTGCTCGATTGAGAGTGTTATGTTAACATAACCTTGACATAAACTCATACACAAGGTTATGTCAAGGTTATGTCAAGGTTATGTCAAAGTTATGTCAAGGTTATGTCAAGGTTATGGCAGAGTAATGTCAGGGTGATGTCAAGGTTATGTCAAGTCTATTTTGAACTTCAATTCCAGTTTGAATGTCAAGGTTATGTCAAGGTTATGTCAAGGTTATGTCAAGGTTATGTCAAGGTTATGTCAGAGTAATGTCAGGGTGATGTCAAGGTTATGTGAAGTCTATTTTGAACTTCAATTCGAGTTTGAATGTCAGTTTGAATTTGTATTTTAATTTCTATAGCACGGAGCCTCCCTTCTTGTGTTAGGAGATGCCCTAATATAGGTTTCCCTTCAATGAAATAAGATTAACCTTGACATAACCTTCAAAGCGGTCGACAAAAATAAATAAATCAAATAGTTATATTTCTCCCTCGAAATCATGTGATATGTAGTATCGTTCTGAAAAATATGTTTTCTTCGAGGCATTTAGTTTTGAAATTTTCAAATGAACGCCCTGAAATTAAGCGTCTGAAATCGGGGATCTGCAGAGGCAGTCGCAGTCCAGGTATAACATTAGTTATATTCACTTTATGTTCCTACTCAAGGTATTAATACCACAATAACAGTTTTACGGTAACGATTGTTATTTCACCTGCGAAGCTGCAAAAGGAGCGCCAGGATGAGTGACACAAAGAAGCCACTCGTAGAATGAACAGAGCCGTGATTGTTCGCACAGAAAGCGGCAAAAAATTGTACGAAACCGCTTCAGGCGATAAAAGTTCTCCGAGCAGCAATTTATACGACAGGAATAATACCGTAGGTGCCGGTCGTACAATTAAAACGGTAAAACTAAAACAGAGCTGTTTAAATAACTAAAACAAAGGCTATAGAATTCTACTTCGTCAAAGTTGAAATACCTGAAATCACTGAACCATATAGAATCTTACTAGACGCGAACGTTCAATTTGCCCGAATCATTTTATTCTCAAAAAGTATTAATGCTTCCAAGTTACAGTGTCCGTCTCAGATATTCCCACGAAAAGAAATAACTAATTCATGGCGAACAGTATTTGCGAAACTTGATCGCAGCGATTGCGAGATCAGTTTTCTCTACCCTACCTACTAATAAACAATCTCGCATGTAATTTCACGTTACAGACGAAGAAATCACGGCTGATCGACTCTCAGCACATCGTCATAATCCTTATCGTCTTCTCCATGATCCTCTTCGGCATGAGTTTCGCCTTCGTTTTCAACTGCGTGAGGAAGCTAATCCGGGATCATCGAATCATTCGGGTAAGTGGATTCTCCCCGACAGTCGCCGTGGTTCGTAATCGTGTCAATCTGCTGGAAAATTGACACCATATAAGATTAAAAGTTGCGCTAAGGACCCGGCGGCGACGATAATGTCTGCAGCTTCTACCACCTGCGGTGTCTTCAATATTTCGATCGAAATTTTGAATTGAAAACTTACCGACAATTGGCCGACGCTTTTCCAAATAACCCTTGCGAAGGTATTGCAGTCTAGAGCACGTTTTCATTTGCTATTTATTTGTGAAGAGTATTTAACACGTTCCGTGCCACGTGTACCATCGATGGTACACGCTTGCATGTTTACTTAGTGAACTGAACAAATTGTTTACAAGAAATTTAGAACCGAACAATCAATTTCCACCGCAAGAATGGGCGTTGATAAGTTTTTGTTACGTTGTTATGTGTACGAGAATTAATATTTGCACGTAATACATCAAGTTTTAGTCAAATATCAAAGTGTGAAGATTCGAGTAAAAAAAGCTCGGCACGGAACGTGTTAATAATATATCCTATCTAACCGTATATTTCTGTATATCTCCGTGTGTAGAAGATGGTTGCTTGCAGAATCGGAGACTATCGATCATGCCAGCTTCGACAACGATCATTTCGGAAACGATTTCGTCTACGTCCGTTTGAAAATTCTCGCGTTCGTGCCACTGCACAATGGAAAGCGATTTGACGCGGAAAATGAAGCGTGAAGTAAACTAAAATATCACTGGATAGTAATAAATCGATGCATCGAAAAAAATCGCGGAGACCGATGCGCTTTTTTTCGCGCTACGCGCGGGTTCGTCTATCGACGCGTCGCTGGAATTTCAATTACGCAGCGAACGTATGAGATTTCGATTCGATTCACGGGCCTGGCTTGTCACGTACAGTTGTACGTGCCTAACATTTACGCAACTCGGGAGAAAACTGATAAATGTGATATTGTGAAACACACAATACGAAATGAGCTCACGGTTCGTTTCACCCATTCACATGGGACAAAACGTGGAAAATTGTAGTCAGAAGAATCGCGGGGCGACCGGCGTTGATCTAATAAACAGTAACATCGAAATAAACAATTAATTCGATGCAAGAATTTTTCGGCCGTTTCGAACCTATTTACATTCTTCTCCACTCGATCAACGAAACAATTACCTTTGATATATTGCGACGAATGTTCGATGCATACGCGAAATGCGATAAAAGTTCAGCGTGTAGGCTGATTCATTCGCATCGTTGTAGAAAATGTTTACAGATTGCGAACACATGTGCTCGTTTAAATTCCGATGTTCGAAAATTAGTTTACCGACCGCATGAAGTTAATCGTGTTACATGATATTGTTTTAATTGCGAGTGAAATGGAAGGTTCGGTTAACGCTAGAACCGCCGAACGTGATAAAGTGACTGCAGGCACGTTGATTCACAATTCAGCGGGAAATTATTAATTAAATTTTCTTACTAGAGCGTACATTTCAGTAAAGATTCTATCGAATCTCAATAAAAACGTGACTCTCCTAGAAACTTCGCGTTTTCAACCTGAATCGAATTGGTCACTGCACCGCGTATCAAACAATCGTCTACCGCTGCACGATAACGTCCTCGAACAGTTTCTCTGGAAAACGAATAAAAGAATACGTCTAACCCTTAGCGCTCCGCGCGTTTCTCGAGTACTGCCTACCAACAACTCCGGCACATTTTTGGAACGGAGCGCCTGAGATAAAGGAAGTCTTATTTTCAGCGGAAAAGATTACACGTCCTTGCGAATGCATTTGATTTTATTTATTTCATAAATATACATTTTCCTATTGTAAATAAAAGATAAATTTTAAATTTTGTAATTCACCACGCTGCGATATCTTTGATAACAATCTCCCATGTGCATTCTGGGTTTACTTGGACAAGTGTCACAGTATTCGCTTTGCCAAATAGAGTTACTAGATATTTCTTTCAAGTTTACAACGTTTTCTGCGTAATTGTTGGTTCCCTTTATAATTTCATTTACCAATTCGTTCGTGAATAATAATTTAAAATATTGTATCGCCTGTTCAATGTTTGTAGGAACTTGTGGTCCAATGACCTGTGGCAATACACTAAAAGGTATTCTATCTGGAATATGTAATTTTTCCGTAACATCGCGCCATTCATCCAAGTCTTGTAACGAATCTTCGCTTTCACTTTCAATAATTCTCATTCTTCGTCTCTTTGGTAGTATAATTTCGCTACTGCTACTCGAAGTGTCAGAATCATAACCAACATTGTCTTCCACAATGTCCTTTAACTCTTCAAAATCAAATACGTCTTCGGTATCACTCGGCTCTAAATTCTCATCGTAATATTTATTTTCCTCCATGTTGCTAACCATAGAAAAGGTCGACAAATGTTTTAATCGCAATGGGACAGACTTGGCACGTTTTAACAACAGATAACAATTGCTAACGCCGACGATAACGTATGCTAAAAATATTTGGCTCCGCAGCGGAACCTTCGGAGTTACGAAACAAATGACAAATGTCTCCGTAGCGGAGCCTTCGGAGCGCTAAGGGTTAATAGAATGAAACATACGTTATCAGCCCCTACATGCGAGATCGAACAGGTCAGGTGATCGTACATACGCTTCAAACGTGATGTATTCTTTCACCGGCACGCCAGAGATTGTTACGATATCCGATAATTCTAATTACCGTGGACGGATCGCGAGAGCTTTCCAAAGCCAGAGTGTTCCAAAGGCGTGTTCCAATATTTGCCGAGTCGATTGAAAGAATTCGTTTCTCTTTCCCCAGGAGCACATCAGGCAGTCGCGAGAAAATCGATTAGACGAGATCGGCCGGAAGGCAACACCGTGTCCAATCTCGTCCTCTAGAACGGACATAGGCGACCGTGGCAGCGAGTCGCCCAGCCTGGAGGTGATGCCCAGCAAGGAGCTGCTGCCCCCCACGACTCTGATAGCCCAGGACTACACGAAGGACCTTGTCCTGGAGATGACCTACAACACGCGGGACATGAACGACATCCACCAGAGCAACAACGTCAGCAACGCGACGCAGGAGCGGCTGCAGGAGTCGAACGACGAGCCAGAAATGCGGGACAGTTCCTGTCAAACGCGGGAGAGCTTGTTCGAGATGCCTCTCGGCTTCACGACCTTCGGCGTGCGCGCGCCCAGCTCGCAAAACGGGACCAACCATCTTCATCACCATCGCCACCACCACATGCACCACCATCAGAGCCCTTCGCAGTCGCGGCAGAGCTCGCAGCCCTCTCAGCACAGCGGGCAGCAGTCTTCCGAGCACAGCTCCCAGCAGCCGACCTCCCAGTGTTCGGGCTGCAGTCCAGCGTCGAGAGGTCGGGACGGCAGCATGGGCGTTTGCCCGAAGCACAATCCCATCCCGGCGCCGCCCGGCTGGTCCACCCACGAGGCCAGCTACCCGCTGTCCCTGCACCAGGGCTCCCCTTACACGGAGCCGCCGGACTATCCATCCTACCAAAGGTTCCAGAGTCCGCAGCCGAACAGGGAAACCAGTGCCTACTGTCAATCCCCCAAGGTGGCGAGACAGCCGACGATCGGCTCGGGCGAGAGGTACGGAAGCTCTCTCTACGGATCGGGTCACGGGTCGAGCAACGCGCCGAGCTCGCAGCACTCGAGCACGCCGAAGTGCGCCCAACAGACGACCCCCGATCCCAGGTACAGGGCGGAGGCGGTGATAGAGGTCGACCAGAGGCGGCCGTTCAGTATAGAGAGCACGAAGAGCGCGCCGGACGTGATCGCGACGCACTGACGCCGGGGTCCTGGGGATTGGGAGCCCTACAAGAGACGCCATCCCCGACAAACCGTCGCCAATCACCATCTGTCCAGCCAAAACGATGGAAGCAGAGTGACCGTAGCCACGCAGAGCTCGTTGGACGACGACGCTTCGACCAGCTCGACCGTCGAGGCAAATTCGTCCTCCTGATCCACGTATACTGGCGCGATCGATCGACCTGACCAGCTCGGCCTCTCCGATCAGGACGATCGAACGTCCCCGGACAAGTTTGCGCGGGATGTCGACGATTCCGGGACACGTCTCGGAACGATCGAGCGAAACGGTGTCACGGCACAGAGGCCGTCCGCGGAACCGATCGGAGAGACCCGGTCTCGTTCGGGCGAAATCGACGACGGAACCGACGGAACGAAACCGATCGTGTACGGGCCAGGCTCTGCCGGGATAGACGCCGTCTTGCCGTCGACCGGCCGCGATAAAACAGAATCGATGGACGGCGTCACAGTTTTGAAGCCGTCGCGGCTTCGGATGGACTCGACGCTCAACGACCTTCTGATCCTGAGGCCACCGGAGGCCTTCCGGGTGCCGGTGTTCCGCTGCAAAACGCCGACCTTGGCCTGGCAGCACTGCAGCTGCCCGTCCCACTCCCATTTGCCGGACAGGAGGTCCTCGGTGATCTGGGGTGTTTTGAAACGCAACAACCAGGAGCCGTTCTATCGCACCTGGCCAAACAGGACCGCCAGGAGGTTCGTTCGGCCCTCGAGGAGGACCGTCGGCACCCAGAGCTCGTTCGATGGATCGAGATCGTCCCTGGGCACCATCCGCTGCGTGGTCAGATCGATCGACATGACCGAGAGGTCGATGGATCTCGAGATCGGCGCCACGATACCATTCTAGTGTTTACTTCGGCACCGAGGCGATTCTTTTGCGCGTCGGATCGATCGGATTATGGACCAATGGTTTTGTAAGCGAAACAGGGTACAGGATGTTTGCTCTGTTATTGTTGACATGGGTGTTGTTGTCGCTTAGATCGGGCACGTTCCGTACGCGCGTAAATACGTTTGTAAAACATGTTATCGCGGGAAAACTCTTGTTGCCATTTTTCCTATGGTTTTTGACTGTCGAGAGGTCGCAAATGTTATTGTTAGATCGATGCGCACGAAACGTTGTTTTATAATTAGACTGTTCGTTTAGCGAGGCCGCCGCGTTCGAGGCGTTAACAGTGAAATAATGCGTTTCATGCACCCGCGTCGATGCCGGCCGTTTCATTGGCTTAATCACGTTGCGCGGTGTCTCTGTTGTACAACTGAGATTACGCGATGATTTTCAAGTGACCTCCGGGCAATGCCATTCGAGTTACATGGCCAGCGGAAAATCGGTTCAACGATAACTATTCGTGTTGCACGGCCCGGTCATTGGAAATCACTTTGGCGATTTCTCTTCACGTTGTATGACCGATCTATTGAAAATCAGTTTAGCGATATCATAGTTAACGTCGGTCGGAGACTGATTTTACGACCAATCGCAACAATTTCCATAATTATCGAATTTTTAATATTTGAAACACAGAAGCAAGATTTTGCATGTTTGTTTTAGTCGCTCGTTCGACGATTCATTTGTTGCTTGCAATTAAGCAAAGTATAAAGGCATGCCAGGGGGGTGTAACGTTACTTTGAAAATTAACAGCTCGATGTAAACGTCTGACAATTATCGAACATTCGAAATAAGAAGATTTTGAATCATTTATGGACGTATATTAACGTTACTTTTAAAATGCACACAGGTTAGTACGAATCTTTCAGTATTTAGAGCAAGATTTTTTTACAAATCATAGACATATTAACTTGTTAGTTTAAATTAGTTCTTGAAAAAAGTGAAATAGAATATGGAGTAGCATAAGCGATAGCGTAGGTTACGGACCAAAATCCACACAATGAATAGATTAAAGCAATAAAAGCCGTACGATTTAAACTAATAATCCGAGATCACCGAAAACCTTGGCTTCTCTGTTTCAAATACTTGAATCGTTACTTGTTAATCGTTCGTAACTTGCGATATTCGTCGGTCGAATATCCGCCACCTAATTTTCTACAGTTACCCCGAAGTATCTCAATAACCAGCTAGCAAAATTGCAAGTGACGAAAGCGGAACAAGCGGCTCCTGTTCATTTGCATACGTCTCTGTGTCGCAACGAAGACGCGTATTGTTATAGCGAGGCGCTTAACCTGTTCCTTTACGTCCGCCGTGGCAAGCAAAGACGGTTAACAGTCGTTGTTATAATAAGCTCTGACACTTACCAGAACGTTGAACGCTTCCGCTGGAGTTCTCCTTGATTGTTACAACGCGGGGACGATGCGACTCGTCCCGAAGCACACACATTTGTGAACCTGTTCGCGACGTGAATACGTCGATCAAGGTATTTTCTAGAAGCTTTTGCTGTGAAATAAAGAGACAGAGAGAGAGAGAGAGAGAGAGAGAGAGATAGCGATCCCCGAAGGAATGAAATAACATATCGGAAACCGGAAGTGAGTCGCCCGTTTAACGACGAAGTGGCCGGTACTTCCGGTCGTCATGTTGATCTTAAAGCCGAACAGTGCTGCGAGTTCGCGCGTGTCAGAAGCGGTGAAAAGTGTTCGAATGACAAAGATATGCCCGTAGGAGAGAGAGAGAGAGAGAGAGAGAGAGCCTACGAGAGCGAAATGATTGTTTCGGGCAACGAGCAAGTAGATATTCCTATCGTTAAAGAACGTCGACACTGTGTCGGCGGACAATGATATTCAGGTCTAACATAACTTAACACCCCTTTTGTACACATAGTGTCGGTTTACGCGGCTCGACCGTTGTAACACGTTACGAGATTAAAATACGATACTGCGATATTAGGCAAACTATTTTTCCACGGTATTTCCATTGATAGTCGAGGATGTAACACAATTACGCACACCCGAACAGGAAAGTCGAAGTAATGCATTTATAACTTAATCGCGCTTTCGCCCGAACGTCTTCGAACCGGTTCGGACGATACATCGATAAGGAGAATCGATCGTAGCGCTGTAGAAGTGTTTTGATCCCAAACGTGGTAAAAAAAAAATGATTTCTCGACTGACATCGCGCGTCGTATTTGTCCTTTATTCGTTTCAGCTTATTGCGTTCTTCAAATTTATTTACGAATTATTACAAGTCCGTACGGAGAAATGTGTTGACTACGTTTTTTGAAATGATTTAAAATTGTATGTACATAGGAAATCTGTATTTATGCTATTTTGAAACAGTTTAGTATATTTGCTGCGATCAATTTGATTAAAAGTTAACTCATTTCTAGTTAGGCATCGAATTTGTTTTATCTATTTAAAAATCTAAGAATATTTTGTATATATTCCTACTAATGTATTTATGTATTGATCTATGTTTTTGTATTAACTTGTACTAATTTATTTAAAATACGAAATCGGAGGAGAAATGCAAAAGCGTGGGTATACATAGTTATAGCAAAGAAACGATGGAATTAGAAATCAGGTTGCATCGAAGAGGCAGTTTCATTTTTGAAGAATAATTTGAACAAACCAACGGACAGCAACTAAAATGCAATTGATAAACTATTGAATATGAATCATTCGTCTTCTTCGTTGTTTCCATAAACATAATAGAAATATTGGAGCTGCCACTTGTTTGTGCCAAACTCTAGACCAATAATCTCCATAAAGGAGACAATAGTCTATCTTAATTGTTATTACAACATATACAGTATGCAAAAGTAATAATATAGTAATGAGATTCGATAAAATAAAAGGAGCTGCCTCTTTATTACTATGTAAACTCGGTTACAATTTAAATCTCTATTACAAATCAATTATAATTTGAATTACTATTAAAAATCTATTCTCAGATTCTATTAAAAGTCTATTAAAATTTTAATTTATACGTGCAATGGATCGCGTAAATTCTTCAAACACAATATTCAGGATTTTCGAAGTATGCGCGTCAAAAGCCGCGTGAAAAATTGATTAACGCGAACAAACATCGTGCGACCTGCCTTGAACATTCGATGAAATATTCACGAATTCTATTTATTATTTAGATGCTTTGTTCGCAATACCTTTTACCATATTTTGGGAGCCAAATACCGCGCAGTGCAGTCAAACGTACAAAATCGTCTCGATGAAAGATAAAAAAAAAGAGAGTTCGCTCGCGCGATCCCGCGCTCGTTAACTATTTAACGAATGCGGGTCTCGAATCATTTCCCGATCCCAGCGGGGCTCGCATAATGGCGATAATCTATTCTGTATGATTTCGAAAAAGAGGAGCAAAAAGCTCGGTATCCCGAGTCCGACGTCTCGTTCACGATCGATTGAACGTTTTCATCGGGATCGGCCATTGAAACGAAACGGAGGAAGATTTAGGGGGCCTCGAGGCCTGTCGCCCGCAGACAAACGAATAATTCAATTAGTCAATTAAAAAAGCGAAACGATCGATCGAGAATCGCGACGGGGGAGAAAACGATACGGGGTTTATCAGAACGGAGGAGAAATAGATAGGCGAACCATCGTGCGTGTTAACCCTAACCGGTCTAAGCAAAGTACACATTGTAAAGCTGTCAGGAACCTAGCAGAGTTTAGTTACCGACAAAGAAAATTCTCGCTTTCTGTACAGGTTCGTGTCAACGTTTATCGTATAGAACAGAATGTACAGAGTGTACACATTTGTATATAAACGACGCATACACGTCCGCTCGAGTGATACGACGGGCGAATAATAAATATAGTACTTTTAAAATAACACGAGCATTTTCATGGAAACACCGCCGTTACACCTTTACCGTGTACCGACCCTCGTCAATTATGAACGAGCCGAGTGCCACGAAGAAGTGCGACCTCTCCTCTTCCCCATTTATATCACCTATTATAGAAGATCCTCCGGGGACGTCGCGGGTGCTAAACGTTTTAACAAAGGTAAGTTTCTGGACAGTCGACGCCGCGAGATCGATTGTTCAACACGCTAAACGTTCCATGCGCGTTTTTTTTCCACGGAGCGTACTTCAATTTTTAATATTGGAACAGTGTCTCCGGTCAACCGTGTTCCTCCGGACACTCAAAGACTCTCGAGTCGGCCAAGAACCTTCGCTCACCGTTAGCTACTAGTTTTTCTTGTTAAAAGAGGATTACCAAGCCAATGTTTTATCTTTCGTTAAGTCCTCCCGCATTATCTGGAACCGGGGGTTGAAAAATCAAATATTCGTTGCCTCGGAAGTGGAAATTTAATTCGATGTTTCATAGCTTTATAACGCTAAGTCTAAGTCATGGGCGATGGTTTCGTGGAAAATTCAAAGACATATTTGTTGAACTTCGGGTTCAGCGAGGTTACCTCTTACTTAGTTGCGAATGTCGAGGTTAAATGATGCTGAGTTTTCATAGCAAAGTCGAAGAATTTGATATTGAATAACTTATACCTCGTTAAGTGTCGCGGCGCAGCCAGTTACATACTTCGAAATTTTGACACAGCCTTTATTTAACGATCGAAGGAATATACAGGATGTTACAGATGTTTTAGGTAGTATGAATAATTTTTTTTATTATTTCAAGGTCAACTTGATTTTTTGAAATGGAACCATACATTTTTTTAATCATATTACGATAGCTGGTTTCAATACAAATCCAATATTGTAGTATTTCTTTCAAATAATCATAAATTAGAAGCAATTAAATTTGCAACAGCGGGAAGCGGACATTATTACAAGTCGTATCGCATCGGTTGCCTATTTTTATTATATTGCCGGATATTTCGCTGTTCTCAGTTAGGCGTAACACTCTGTATGTCTTAATATTGAAATCATACAGTGTTTCATAAGATAGTTGACACTTGGACGTATCTAACAATATGATATAATAATACTAAAATACTTTAAATACACAGACCAGGAACTTAAAATTCTGTCATTTTGAAGACGTTATACAATTTTCCAGAATGGTTCCCTAAGTTTCAGAAAGGTTCCAGAAAAGTTCCAGAAAGGTTCCAGAAAGATTCCAGAAAGGTTCCAGAAAGGTTCCAGAAAAGTTCCAGAAAGATTCCAGAAAAGTTCCAGGCAAGTTTCAGAAAGGTTCCAGAAAGATTTCATAAAAATTCCAGGAAGGTTCCAGAAAGATTCCAGAAAAATTCAAGAAAAGTTCCAGAAAGGTTCCAGAAAAGTTCCAGTTGCTTCGAATAACCTCAGGAATCTCTAATTTCCCGGAAGTACCATAATTATAGGACACCCTGTATATTTCGTGGAACATCGCTCGTGTTCATGTAGAACGAGTATTACTCTTCTTGTTGCGTTAAATCTCAGTCGGGAAGCTACAATTTGCAGTATCATATTTAAATGTCTTGCGGTAGTCGTTCATAAATAAATAATGGTATTCCTGCTGTTCACTTTGCTCCAATGTTAATGCTTGATATAACTGGAAATAACTAGTCTTCAAGCAGAGGAGAAAGACAGAAAACAAAAAGCAGCCTTTCACCAGAAAAGGTATCTTAGAATGAAGTCCATAACTTGGTGTCGGTATCGGCTCATCGAAGTAAAGTAAACTAAGTTTCGTGCTTGCAAACTTACCATCATTTACGTCGAAAAGTTATCCTATCTTAGCGTCCTCGTTTTACCTCGTTCGTAATCATTTTGACACCGAGTACGTGTAGTTTTCAACAGTGATTTATGACAGATAAATATGCTTGTTACAATAGAATTCGTAACATAATGAAAGAGTTCTTATAATCTGAAAATATTAATTATAATATAGACTGACAACGCCGCGACTACATAAACATTAATTATTGGAGGCGAAATAAGCAATTAACCAGCGACGTTGGCCAGTGAAAGCCTTGAAAACGCCGGATCCAAGTAAACCCAGTGTCCACTGATTTCGAAAAGTGGGAGGTCCTTGGTCTGTTCCGGGCAGAAAGCGGTTTTCACTGAAAATTATAATGAGAGACTCGGTTTGGCTCGCACACAAAGGCGAAATTTAATATGGTTGACTGGGAGCCCGATAAAAAATCTGGGGCGAACACATGGTTTTTGCTCATTTAACGAAACGGTGACCGTTTGCCAAGACGGCTCAAAGAAACGTAAATAATGAAGACACGAGTTAAATCACGGCAAAACGCGGCTCCCTTTGACACGTTCTACCCCGCGGTGCATGTACAATAGGCGAACACGTATACACCATTTACGTCTATGGGACGGTACGGTGCTCGGTCACCTTTATCTCTTCCGCATAATTTGTAATTTATGTACGTGCACAGCGGCGTAGTCACGTCGATGCCGGCGCTGTACGCCGGTGGACGCTGAACGACAATGACATATTGTATTTTTTAATGGATATTCTTCGTCATCGATCGAATCCTGAAATCGTTCCGACGTAAATTTCACCCGACGGGATTTTATTGAAACGTTCTGTTTAACATTTTCGCTCGGCTCCGCCGGCCGTCTCGATCGGAGATGCAAATGCATTCCCGTCGGTGAAACTTTCCTTGTACTTCCTGCTACGTTTCAATTTCAATCTCATTGACGTATTGGGAGTCAACAAACCGCGTCCTTTGTTTGCGCGTTCTGCCACGGCTTCGGATCGCCCTTTCGAAACCAGACTTCTTAGAGTTGAAACAATTAATCAAGGATATTTTCATGGGAAACTGCAGCTGGCGAATCAATGGCACACAAAGGCTGCGAAGTTTATTGAAATAGCGGGGAACATACTGTGGAAACTGTGCAATGAGAAAGGTGAAGATGATGTTGCAGAATTTGCAGGAGAGGCAAAACTGGTGTCTCCAAAATTGCCCTTGAATCTTAAATCATTCCGAAAAAGTTTTTTCAATAAATTATTACATTAGGTGCCGGTTTTACGGAAACGCGAGCGTGCGCACGGTAGGGAAAAGCGACGAAGTTGTGTAAAAATCAAGGAATCTCAAATAGAAACTAGACGAAGCGATGGTTTTTATCTTACGTTAAAGCAGAAATGTTGCAGAATAAGGGAAAAATAGAGGGACGTAGTATGAAGATATTTTAACATTGAAACTTTATGTTGTACTTGAAATATTCCAACAAAGTTCATCCAATAGCGTGTAACAGTTGAATTTTTCTTCTGACATATGACACATCATTTGCCGTGGATTTTGATATGATCATTTCAAATCCGGTTGCAATATTTATCTGGTTTAATTATAAACCAGAGAATGTGGTATAATCATTTTTCAACCTTGAGGATTTATGTTAAACTTGAAATATTGTAACGAAAAAAATCACGATCTCGTCAGTTTTTCTTTTCACTCAAATCGATTTTTTTTCAACATAAAAAATATATAAAATAATATAAATTAATATTAATATATAAAATAATAAAATAATATAAATATTAATTTATATTATTTTATATATTTTTCCTTCTATTTTCTCCTTAATCTGCAAAATTTCAGCTTTATCTCATTTCCATGAATTCTTCTTTGATTTCGACACGGCGAGCAATTTTAATCTTGAATATGCAGCAAAACAAAATTCATTTATACTCGAAAGTTGAAAATCGAGAGCCACGATAAATAGAACGTACACATGTCCGTTGTTTATTTCGCTGCAAGCTCGCTATTACCATTTGTATCGGCGACAGATCGGATTAAGCGAAAGTATTTCCGCCATGCGCGTTAAGCGTTTTAATATGGATTAATACCTGTGCATTTATTTTATCGCCGGTGATACGAGCAACTGGTTGCGATTTAATTTAATCATATCCTTGTCAAGGGGCGGGCGGCCCATAAACTTCTGGATTTGCACTCGCTGTTATCTAAATTTCTGTCGTAATTTCCATCTAATTCGTGAGCCGCGCTGGCTGTAGGTTCTCTTTCTTATCAGGGTATCTGTACGTAGTTTCGTTCAACGAATTTCTGATGCGGGCATGCACAAAATTGAATATGAAATGGTGCTTCGCCTCTGTTTGCTTTGATCAACATATAGCGCGCCGCTCTGTGTGCGAGAAGATGATTAACCTCGTATTTATTAACATCGATTCGACGGGATACGCGTCGATTACCATAATTAATATTATATAAGAAGTCCGATAAACAAATCTGTTCCGAACAAACTCCAAAATACCATAATCATGAATGCTACGGCATGTTGATTAAATCCACGGCAATATCCGAATGTTGCGTTTATCAAACCGAGCAAATTTCAAATATTAAACACCCGTTCGACATACATTCCTCGAACGATTAAGTCCAGCTGAATCCACGTTTCCGTTCACCAGTTTGCAGTAGCTGTACTCTGGCACTGGGAAATTTTTATCGATTCTATTTTCTATTCATCTTCTACGAATTCTACGCATTTATGAGAAGATTGAGCAGATCAATCAAAGTATTTACAGAATTTAGAAATACGATTGTATTATTTCTTTGTTTTATTTAGGCTGAGACTTCGCTTAAAGTTCCAGAAAGGTTCCAGAAAGGTTCCAAAAAGGTTCCAGGAAAGTTCCAGAAAGATTTCAGAAAGGTTCCAGAAAAGTTCCAGAAAAGTTCCAAAAAGTTCCAGGAAAGTTCTAGAAAAGTTCCAGAAAGGTTCCAGTTGCTTCGAATAACCTTCCTTCGAATTAATTTCAATTATTAAACGCCCGTTCAACATACATTCCTCGAACGATTAAGTCCAGCTGAATCCACGTTTCCGTTCACCAGTTTGCAGTAGCTGTACTCTGGCACTGGGAAATTTTTATCGATTCTATTTTCTATTCATCTTCTACGAATTCTACGCATTTATGAGAAGATTG